TGCCAGTTGGGTTGCAGTCACCACTCACAGCTCAAGATGCTCACCTAACCCAACTTCCTGTGGCAGTAGTAGAGGCTGTGCCTGCAGCGGTGTGCGAAGGGAAAAGAGGGGTCTCATTCGGTGTGCCTGAGCCACTGCACAGAGGCTGTGCAACTGGTGGGAGGGCATTTCACCCTTCATCTGCAGTGTGAGGACAGTTTTCGCACTTGTTGAGAGCAAAGTTACTTTTCACAGTCCCAAGCAGGCAGCTCTTGGACTCTGAAAGTAGAATGCTTTTTCTTTTGTCCCAGTTTTGCCTTCTTGGTTCACTGAACTCTCCTCTTTCCCAGGAGCAGCACTCTGTAAGGGCTAAACTTCTGGGGAACTGTGTCATTCCTGGGTCCAGCCAGCTCTGGGCCACTGTAGCCCTCCAAGCTGGCACTGGCCAATGTCAGCGGCAGCTCCTGAGATGCAGATAGGGGAACTGAGGTTCCCAGGGCAGGAGTCAGTCCTCTGATACCTGTATTTTCCCAGTGGCATCCTGACACAACCACTTGCATCTTGGTGGAAAGTGAGTAGCACAGTATGAGTCCCCAGTCTGGTGCTATGCCCTCAAGAGTTCTCGAAGTCAACAGCCGTGTTAGTGTCAGGGTTCATGAGAACAAAGGAGCTCTCCCACAACTCTGTGGCAGTCCACAGGAGAAATGCAGGCTGCGGAAACATTCCCCACTTACCTGTCCTCAGCAATGCTGAGGCCCTCCAGTTCCTAGCAGCTCTCTGCTGAGTTGGCCTCTTGCTTCCTTTTCCTTTGGCTCCTCAGATTTTTTCTGTGAGTTCTCAATTAGGTTCCAGTGTTCTTTCCTTGATATTCTATTGGAGGTATAATTACTAGTTCACAGTATTGTTCTTTCTAAGGAGAACTGACATCCAATGTCACAAATTTACCATCTTGAGCCCTTTCCTTTTTAAAATATTTTATCTACATGTATGTTTTCACAACTACCATGCAATGTAACGTTTCTTTGATGCCAAGTGGTACAGATATGCTATAATTTTTGTTCTTGTTGATACTGAATAACCTGGTTTTGTTTCTTTTTTTGCACATTATTTAAAATATTAGATAGTGGATAAAATACCATCTCACACCAGTTATAAAGGTTATTATTAAAAAGTTAAAAGGTAACAGATGCTGCTGCCGGGTGCGGTGGCTCACACCTGTAATCCCAGCACTTCGGGAGGCCGAGGCGGGCTGATCATGAGGTCAGGAATTCAAGACCATCCTGGCCAACATGGTGAAACCCCATCTCTACTAAAAATACAAAAATTAGCTGGGCATGGTAGCACATGCCTGTAATCCCAGCTATTTGGGAGGCTGAGGCAAGAGGATCGCTTGAACCTGGGAAATGGAGGTTGCAGTGAGCCGAGATTGTGCCACTGCACTCCAGCCTGGCAACAGAGCGAGACTCCATCTCAAAAACAAAAACAAGCAAACAAAAAAGTAACATGCTGCAAAAGTTGTAGTGGAAATGGAATCCTTGTACACTGCTGATGGGAATATAAATTAGTCCAGACATTGTGGAAAGCACTGTGGTGATTTCTCAAAGAACTACAAACAGAAGCACCATTTGACCCAGCAATTTCATTATTGGGTACATAACCAAATAAATATAAAGTATTTTATCATAAAGACACACATACACACATGTTCACTGCAACATTATTTGCAATAGCAATATCATGGAATCAGCCTAAATGTGCATCAACAGAAGACCAGATAAAGAAAATGTGTTACATACACTATGGAATACTACATATCCATTAAGAAGAATAAGATCCAGTAATTTGCAATAATATGAGTTGCAGGTCATTATGATAAGTGAAATAAGCCAGGAAAGGAAATGCAAACATTACATGTTCACAATTATTCGTTGAAGCTAATAATTAAAACAATTAAACTCATGGAGATAGAGAGTAGAAGGATGGTTATTACAGGCTGGGGAGGGTGGTGAGTGGGGGGTTGGGAAGAAGTGGGGATAGTTTATGAATACAAAAAGTAAAACAAATGAAAAAGACCTAATATAACACAACAGGGTGACTATAGTCAATAATAATTTAATTGCACATTTTAATATATCTAAGAGTATAATTGGATTATTTGTAATGCAGAGAATAAATGCTTGAGAGGATGGATACTTCATTCTCCATAACGTAATTATTATATATTGCATGTCCGTATCAACATATCTCATGTATTCCATAAATATATACACAAATATATATTTAAAAATATTTTTGGCCAGGCGTGGTGGCTCACACTTGTAATCCCAGCACTTTGGGAGGCCGAGGCAGGCAGATCACGAGGTCAGGAGTTCAACACCATCCTGGCTAACATAGTGAAACCCCGTCTCTACTAAAAGTACAAAAAATTAGCTGGGCTTGGTGGCATGTGCCTGTAGTCCCAGCTACTTGGGAGGCTGAAGCAGGAGAATCCCTTGAACCTGGGAGGTGGAGGTTGCAGTGAGCTGAGATCACGCCACAGCACTCCAGGCTGGGCAACAGAGCAAGATTCTGTCTCAAAAAAAAAAAGTTTATGAGGAATCATAGTAATATTTTCATTGTTTTGTTTTTTTTGTTAGAGGTACAAAATTTCTACAAATTTAACAATACAGATTTTTATATTTACTTTAACATTTTACAAAAAAAATGGAGTTAATAATTGAAAATGAAAGACAAAAAAATGGCTGGAGCCTTGTGATGGGTACTCAGGAATTTTTGTATAATTTTTATATCTTTGTTTACATTTTAAATTTCCATAATGAGTTTTAAATAAAAAATTTAAGGTTATTTTTAATAAAAACCTTCAAATACTGAACATTAGCCACGTTATGTAATAAAAAATAGGCAAATATCTTCTCATAAATTATAGTAATAAATTTAGAGATTAGTATCAGATTTGGGTATCAAGATTGGTTTTGAAGAAGCAATGAATGTGCAGCTTTTGCATTAGCAATAGGCTACTCTAACTGTAGAGACAGGTGCCATCAACCAACTTTATATTAGATTGCTTCTCCAAATATTTTTAGTTAATAATTAATTTTTGATTTTTCCTCATTCTATGATGACATCATTACTTATTTGTAACAATCTGTGAGTTAGAGTACTCTTCTGTAAATCACTTCACTCTCCTAGTCTAGTAAAACCAGGTGGTTCCTATCCATAAATACTCCTTTAAAACTGTTTTCTTTTTGCTTACATAACCTCTATAATGTTTTTGGTTGCACTTGTGTCCTCTTGTGGTATTTAAAGTATCTTCTTCTTCTTTCTTTAATATTTATTAAATCAGCAGAAATAACTTTGGTGCTAAACGTCTGTTACTTGGGTTGCCTAAAGTCAGAAGTTATTTTAACACTTATGGCATGCTTGTTTTTGATAGGCTTTAATGGGATATAATTTATGTAATACAATGACATTTTCATTGTAAATATCAATGTTTTATTTTTTATTTTATTTTATTTTATTTTTTGAGACGGAGTCTTGCTCCATCGCACAGTCTGGAGTGCAGTGGCGGGATCGCCTCATTGTAACTTCTACCTCCCGGTTCAAGCGATTCTCCTACCTGAGCCTCTGGAACTACAGGCGTGTGTCACTACGCCCGGCTAATTTGTTTGTACTTTTAGTAGAGATGGGTGTTTCACCACGTTGGTCAGGCTGGTCTCAAAATCCTGGCCTCAAATGATCTGCCTGTCTGGGCCTCCCAAAGTGCTAGGATTACAGGCATGAGCCATCGTGCTCAGCCTGTTTTTAATATTTTAACAGAGTTATATATAGATTATCACAACTAACTTTAAAATATGTTCATCATCCCAGAGTAAAATCTATCTTGTTTTCATTCACTTTCCACCATCACCCAGGCCTTAGACATCCATTAGTTTATTTTCTGTCTATCAATGAGCTTTTTATGGACGCTTCTTATATGTGGAATTATAAATTATGTAGTCTTTTTGAAACCTAGTTTGTTTCACTTAGTTTACTATTTTTGAGGTTTATTTCCAATGTAGCATGGATTATTGCTTAATTCCCTTTGATTGCTGAGGATTTTATTGCATAAATATGACACACATTTTTTTACTGGCTGATGGATATTTGGATGGTATTCCCCTTTGGCTCTTATAAACATTGCTGCTATGAACATTCACATACAAGTCTTTGTGTGCCTTAGGTTTTCATTTCCTTTGCATACATGTGTGGAAAAATACTTCTGGGTCATGTGGCAATTCTGTGTTTAAAATTTTGAAGAATTGCCAAATTGTTTTACAAAATGACTGCATTATTTTGCCTTTCCAGCTGCAATGCATAGAAATTCCATACTTTCCACATTTGTCGACACTTGTTATTGTCTCTTTGCTATAGCCAGTAGTTTGTTCATTGTTATCTCATTGTGATTTGATTTTTATTTTCCTAATAGCAAAATATATTGAGCATATTTTTATGTTCATATTAGCAATTTGTATATCTTCTTTGGTGAAACATATATTCAAGTCCCTTGACCGTTTTTAATTGGTAATTTGTCCTTTTGTTATTGACATATGAGTTTTAGTTTTGTTTGTATTCCAGATACTACAGCCTAAGAAGATAGATAATTTGAAATGTTGTCTCTCATTATGCAGCTTAGATTACATATTATTATTGATGTATAAAAAATGTTTTTCAATTTGATGAAGTTTATCAGTTTCTTCTTGATTGTGCTTTTTTGTTGTGTTATTTAAGAAATCATTAGTTGCCAGGGAGCGGTTGCCATAGAGCTGAGCAGTTTTCTGCCTGTGCAGGGCAAAGTCCCTGATTGAGGTGCCGCCATTTTTGCTGCCCAGCAGCGGAGCGACCGTCAGAGACACTATCCGCTTACATCCGTCTCGCAGACCCTGTGAGAGCGGCTGCTGCTGTGGATGATCGAGAGGATCTGGTACCAGGTAAAGCTGGCCGAGCAGGCTCAGCAATACAACGTACTCTGGAACTGAACCCGCAGTATCTTCCAAGAAATGGTGTAATCAATGAAGAAAGTAGCAGGGATGGATGTGGAACTGACAGTTGAAGAAATAAACCTCCTATCTGTTGCATATAAGAATGTGATTGGAGCTAGAAGAGCCTCCTGGAGAATAATCAGCAGCACTGAACAGAAAGAAGAAAAGGAAGGAGAAGACAAGCTAAAAATGATTTGGGAATATCGGCAAATGATTGAGACTGAGCTAAAGTTACTCTGCTGTGACGTTCTGGATGTACTGGACAAAAACCTCACTCCAGCAGCTAACACTGGCGAGTCCAAAGTTTTCCATTATAAAATGAAAGGGGACTACCACAGGTATCTGGCAGAATTTGCCACAGGAAATGACAGGAAGGAGGCTGTGGAGAACAGCCTAGCGGCTTATAAAGCTGATAGTGATATTGCAATGACAGAACTTCCACCAACGCATCCTATTCACTTAGGTCTTGCTCTCAATTTTTCTGTATCCTACTACAAAATTCTTAATTCCCCTGACTATGCCTGCAGGTTGGCAAAAGCAGCTTTTGATGATACAATTGCAGAACTGGATATGCTGAGTGAAGAAAGCTATAAGGACACTATGGGCTTCAGGCATGCAGGGTGATGATGAAGAATAGAATAAAGAAGCGCTGGCCGGGCGCGGTGGCTCAAGCCTGTAATCCCAGCACTTTGGGAGGCCGAGACGGGTGGATCACGAGGTCAGGAGATCGAGACCATCCTGGCTAACATGGTGAAACCCCGTCTCTACTAAAAAAATACAAAAAGACTAGCCGGGCGAGGTGGCAGGCGCCTGTAGTCCCAGCTACTCGGGAGACTGAGGCAGAAGAATGGCGTGAACCCGGGAGGCGGAGCTTGCAGTGAGCTGAGATCCGGTCACTGCACTCCAGCCTGGGCGACAGAGCGAGACTCTGTCTCAAAAAAAAAAAAAAAAAAAAAAAAAAAAGAAGCGCTGCAGGACGTGGAAGATGAAAATCAGTGAGGCATAAAAACCAACAAGAGAAACCATCCCTAACCACCCCACTCTTCCCCATCTCAAATCCCATGGGAAGCGCTGCAGGACGTGGAAGATGAAAATCAGTGAGGCATAAAAACCAACAAGAGAAACCATCCCTAACCACCCCACTCTTCCCCATCTCGTCCCTTGGAAACTCCCCATTGTCCCTAGGAACCGTCAAATCTGACTTTTACATTTGGCCTCAGAATTTAGGTTCCTGCCCTGCTTTTTTGTTTTTTGTTTGTTTGGTTTTTTTTTTTAACAGTTTTCAAAAATTCTTAAAGGCAAGAGTGAATTTCTGTGGATTTTACTGGTCCCAGCTTTTAGGTTCTTTAAGACACTAACAGGACCGCATAGAGGCTTTTTCAGCATTACTGTATTGTCCCCGTGCCAGATGTGGCAAGATTACCATTAGAAATGGAAATTACGTTTGAAAGCCATTAGGTGATGCTTCTAGATGATGCAAGCGTCTAACGGAGATGTTAATCACACTATAGAGGCATAAGTGGTATCATTTTTCAGTTTTTCTAATTGTTTAAACCGTATTTTATACCAATGTTTGAAAGTAATTCGGTGTTAGCTTGACATGGTTAAAGATTGTTTGGGGAGGGAGTTTTGAAATGGTTTTGCTGTAAAAAGTTTTTCAAACTCTACAGAAATGTTGCTGAAAAGCATGGTGCTAGTAACAGTTCAACAATCGTGGCTGCTCATTCTTGCCTACTTTTACTCTCCCACTGAAGCGGGTTAGGGTTGCAGGTGGTATGGAAAAGCCTGCATGCATGTTCAATTATTTGTTTCTACTCCTTCTCCCTCCCCCTACCTGCTTCCCCTCACTCCTCCCCTCTGCTAGCTCAATCACTTCTGCTCAGTATATGTAACTTGAAGCTAATTTGTACTACTGGATATCTGACTGGAGCCACAGATACAGAATCTGTATTGTTCTTACTGAAACACAGCATGGAATTAACATCAAACTTAAATAAAACAAACCTAAATGTAAAAAATAAATAATCATTATCGAATACAAGATTATAAAAAATTACTTCTGTGTTTCTTGTAAGAAAGTTGTCATTTTAGCTCTTACATTTAGCTTTACAGCTCATATTAAGTATTTCAGTATGTGTTTGATTTGAGATGGGATCTGACTTATTTTAAATGTTTATAGCCAATTTTCTTAGAAACATTCTTGGAAAAGATGTTTCTTCCACACTGAAATTTTTTGGAACTTTTGTGAATGTTAATTTGCCATAAATGAACGTGTTTTCAAATGGATTTTTTTTTTTTCTGAGACGTTTGCTCTGTTGCCCAGGCTGGAGTGCAATGGTGGGATCTCAGCTCACTGCCACTTCCACCTCCCAGGTTCAAGTGATTCTCCTACCTCAGCCTCCCAAGTAGCTGGGATTACAGGTATACACCACCACGCCTGGCTAATTTTTTTGTATTTGTCGGTGAGATGGAATTTCACCATGTTGGCCAGGTTGGTCTCGAACTCCTGACCTTAGGTGATCCACCCACCTCAGCCTCCCAAAGTGCTGGGATTGCAGACATGAACTACCACACCCAGCTGCATCTTCAAATATATTCTATTAATTACATGAATCTATCCTAGATAATAAGAATTCATATCAAAAAGTATAAATTGTTTTATTTTTCTTGTTAAAAACTGTTTTGTGTATTTGGTATTCTGTGCACATTTATATTGTTTTTTAAATCTTTTTTTAGAGACAGGGTCTCACTCTGCCACTCAGGCTGGAGTGAGGTGGATCTATCAAAGCTCACTGTTACCTCAAACTCCAGTGCTCAAGCAATTCCACCACCTCAGCCTCCCAAGTAGGTGGGGCTACAGGCATGCGCTTCCATATCCAGCTAATTTTATTTTTTTATCCTTGTAGACACAGTACCTTCCTATGTTGCCCAGGCTGGTTTTCAATTCCAGGCCTCAAGCAGTCCTCCAACCTCAGCCTCCCAAAGCACTGGGTTTACAGGCATGAGCCACCAAGCCCAGCTTATCTATATTTGTTTTTGGGAAGAACGTGTCAATTTCCATTAGAAATAGTTAAAACTTTGAAGATATTTTGTTGAATCTGTAGATCAACCTGTGAGATATTCTAATCTTAAAAATGGTGATTTAAAACTTGATTATTTAATGTACGTTAATTTATTCAGTTCTATGATTTTTGTGAATTAAAAAATAGAGTATAACATATTTGTACTTCTTTTTAAAACTTTAACATTTCTGCTTATTGCTATTATAAATATATTTTTTTATTTCATTTTCATTGTTGATTTATTTCATCTATAACTGCAATTTAATTTTGTTTTCTGACCTTTCATTTTGTGACATTAATTAACTTGTTTATAGTTCTAGGGATATTTTATTGAACTTATGTATTTTTATATAGAAAATTATATCATCTGCAAAAAAAGATCTTTATTTGTTATTTTTCAATCTAGAGAACTTTTTTTATTTTTGTTGTATACTTTATTTTATTGTATAATAGTTCTAATGTTGTGTGTTAGAAAGTATAAATTTCTTTTCAATTTTTGAAAGTTTTTTTAAACAATTGATATTATTTATTAAATATTCATTGAATTTGACACATAAGATGTCAGGCCCTAAACTTTTCTTTGTGGAAATATTTTAATTAATACTTTACTTGTTACGTGATTGTTTATATATACATATATATTCATATAGACTTTTTTTATTTTTAATTGTTACAGACACATAATAGTGGCACATCTTTATGTAGTACATGTGATAGTTTGATACAAGCATATAATATATAATAATCAAATCAGAGGAATTAGAATATGCATCACCTAAAACATATTTCATTTATTTTTGTTACAAACAGTCTCTGGGAAGTATATCTTATTTCTTAATTTTACTTTCATAATTTGTGACTGCCAATTTATTTATTCCTATTTTGTGGTATTCTATGTGTAATAAATGTTTAGGTGACACAAAAATAGAAATAATAATATCGAGTAAGTCTTTTGTCCAATAAATAACCCAAAGTTTTCTTTGTTGTAAGATGAAGAATATAATTATATTTTTATCCTTAATGCTTATATTTATTATTTGAGGCAATAAAAATCTCAATCTAATCCAAATTAGTAAAACTAACATATAACTTTGGCTTTTATCAAGAGGGCAGATTGAATTGACCCCATAAACTTTATGAAAATTTTTTAAAGACAGGAAATTAATTTTAATAATAGTAAATGCAAAACAATATTATATTTGAATAATAATATAGAAAAAATAACTTGATAGAGAGGTTACTACTTAGCATATATAGATGAATATGTAAAGAAACTATAATAAATATATATGTATATGTAATTTATCTTTAATAAAGATGAAAATTCTGCCTTTTTCAGCAACATTGAAGAACCATGAAGACATTATGCTAAGTGAAATAAGCCAGATACAAAAAAACAAGTATTTATGTGAAATCTTTAAAAATTCAGAGTCATAGGAAAAGAAGAATAATAATTATTACAGGCCAGGATGTGGCAGGAAATGACAGGGTATCAGTCAAAATATACATACTTTCAGCTATAAAATAAATGCTGAGAAGGTAACATATAGACTGGTGACAATAGTTAATAATACTGTATACTTCAAATTTTTTCAAAATCAAATCTCAAGTAATCTCACCATACCCACTCACATGCAAACACATAAAGTGTGGAAAGTGATAAATACATTAACTAGCTTAACCGAGGTAATTTAAAAATGTGTACATGTCTCAAAACATCATATTCTAAATCCTAAATATATACACTTTGTTTATTTTATATATCGATAAATGTAAAAAAAAAGTTAAAGGTAATTAACAAGTATTATCTGGCCACATGTAAACTCCATTTAGAACCATTTTCAACATCTTCTGGATTAAATAAAAAATCTAAATCCATATTATGTTTTTGATATCAGGAAAGTGCTAACGAGAGAGAATGGTAATTGTAGAAAAAATCTGAATTAAGGTAAATGCTTTAACCCATATTAGCTTTATATTATATAAAACACAGTAATTCTGGCTATATATTCATTGGAGTGTTTCTGAAATTTGTGCATAATAATACATATGTAATACATACATAGTAGTAAAAAGTAATCACACTTCACAAATTATTACAATATGATGTATTGGGAAGGAGGTCTTCTACATGAAAAACCTTGAGATTTTGCACGAGATGATGTTTTATGTCATAGACAATCTATGAGACATATTTTACTAATGTATGCAACTGTTGCTATTTATGCTTTTCAGGAAAATAATATATATTTTAAACATTTAATACAGATAATTAAAATTGTCTAGAAGTTAAAACAATCCATATTATGCTAAATATAGTTGAAGAAAAATACGAGAAATTCCCAGGACCAGGAGTAAATAAAGAGAATAATCCAGAGGAGTAGTCAACTTAAGAAGCACATGCTCTATTCAGACAGAACTAATCACAAGAATGTCAGATTCATGTGCATTCAACTTCCAACAAGGCAAATGGAATCAGCAAAGAAACACACAGACTGGAGACATTCCAAGTATGATATCTTCCATATGTGAAAACTAAGTTATATATTATGTTACACACAATTAGATAAACTACCAAGATGAAG